ATTATATAAAAAAACCGAATATATTTTAAACATAACTTAATATCATTAGAGTTCAAGTGTCTTTAAATTATTTTTTTATTTTATTATTTAAATTATAATAAATTATAAAATAAAAAAAAAAAAAAAGCCTCTAACATGTGATTCATCCTGGCCTAATAATTGATATTGTAAAATTCGTGTAAACTGCACTTACATTTTTCTTTTCAAAAATAAAACTTTGTCATTTTTGCCAGATGCTTTGAAGTTTGAACAAAAAGAAATTTAGAGCAGCGACGGTTGAGATATAGAGGCCTAAAATTGTTTCCGTAAGCTCTCCCACACCACAGACGGTTCCCACCAACCCACATTCTCCTTTCTACTCGTTCTTCCCTGTATAAAGATCTGTTATTGGTGGAACTGCTTAAAAAATTACTCGACTTTCCTTCTCCCTGTGGCTGGATACGGCGTTCCTGTATAAAAAATTTTATTCTTTAAACCTTACACAACGTTGCTTTACTTTTTACTCCATGTTCTACCACTGCTAGTGCTGTTTCTTCATCTAATTTTGCCTTTCATAGTGGGTCTGTAGTACACTTTGCCTTTCATAATTGCTCAATCTCTCTGCAGCCTGTCAACAGATTCTTGGAGAAATTTGGGTCATGGGTCATGTGGGTCTGGTTTCTTTTTGATTATTGACCTTTTGACTCCACAAATTGGTTTACTGTCTTGTCTATGTACTCTTCTTTTTGCCACCATTGCCTTTGTTAACAAGGTGAGTTCTGTTACTCTTCTTGATTTCCTGAATTCTTTTTGTGTTTCTCTTGGTTACTGTGTATGCAGATAAATGGGTTTTGGCTTATGGGTTTGCTTCTTCAATTCTTGTTTTGGGTTGTGATTTTAATTGTTCTTTAGTTAGCTTAAATGTGCTGTTGCGTTTTTTGTATGGGGAACTGGTCCGTAGGGATGAGGTCAATTTTCTTGAAAGCGGAACGAAAGTTGTAAGCTTGAACATTGTAGTTCAGGTGAACTCTTATTTAATCCATTGTGAAGTCTGAAAAAGAGAAGAGAAAAGATCATGGCATCATGCTGGTAGCTGGGAAGTGCTTCATAGTGCCTGTACCTGTACTAGTTTTCAAATTACCACGTCATGAATCTAGAAATGTTCTCCAAAAGAGAAAAAGAAAAAAAAATCTTCTGAATTGTTCTTTATTTCTTAGGTTCCCAGAAAATGGCTTGTATTTATCTTGTTTTGTTAAGCAGAACTTTTCTTGTGCAAGCATGACAGCAGAATGATTTTCCATATTTAGTTGATGATCATGCTTTGGGATTTTTACTCAAGTTTATGAGCATAATTTCTCTATCTCATGAATAAGCATGAACAAGGAGTCATGCTTTAGAATTTTCTCTTAGTGATTTAACAATAAATTCTGTACCCATTAGAATGGTAGATAAGCATGAAAACTGTAGTGAACTGATACCCTTTCAGTTTCTCAAGTTACTTAAGAGCTTACACTAAGATACAGCTCAAGGGTCAAGTCATGGTGGTTAATTTGTTCCAGGTAGCAGGACTATATACCAGATAACTGTTTTCAGATTGCCTTTCTTTCCTTTTCCTGAAGGTTATCTTGTTTGCAAATGATTGTCTGCCCATCTATCCATGAAAGCTGCTGTGTTTCTTTTGTGAATTTTGAATAATTGATTTCTTTATTGGTTATCTCATTATGTAGTTTACAGATGGATCATACCCAAGTTAATACAACAGCTCGTTGTTCTGGTTCAACACCATCTGAAGAATCAGCTTTGGATTCTGAAAGAAACTGTTGCAGTCATCCTCGTCTGCCTTCACTTAGTCCACCAATACTTCAGCTTTTTGCTTCATCCGGACAACATTGTGACTGTAGCGCACCTTACTTTTCATGGCCCACCTCCAGCAGATTAATAGATGCTGCTGAAGAGAGGGCAAACTATTTTGCAAATCTACAGAAAGGAGTGCTACCTGAAACTCTTGATCGGTTGCCAAAGGGGCAACAAGCAACGACATTGCTGGAGCTCATGACTATAAGAGCATTTCACAGCAAGATCCTCCGATGTTACAGTCTTGGCACAGCAGTTGGATTTCGTATTAAAAGAGGTGTGCTCACTGATATACCAGCTATCCTTGTTTTTGTCTCCAGGAAAGTTGACAAACAATGGCTTAGCCCAATACAATGTCTGCCTGCTGCCCTGGAGGTTAGTAAAGATGCTTATTGTATTTCTTTTCCTTTTTCTTTTTTCCTTTTCTAATTCTTTTTACTTTTGAGCATATTGAGTTATGCATTTGTTTTCCACCTTTTTTGTCCTTTGATTTTATCTGCATGTAATTTGTTGCTAAAATGAATTAAATCCTTCAATCAGGGACCAGGTGGTGTATGGTGTGATGTGGATGTGGTGGAGTTCTCTTATTTTGGGGCACCTGAGCCGACACCTAAAGAGCAATTTTACACAGATATTGTGGATGATTTGCGTGGGGGTAATCCACGTATTGGTTCTGGTTCGCAGGTATACTCAAACTCTCATGCACAATATTTATATTGAGGATGTGAAAACAATGGTGTTTTTTATTTTTTATTTTTTGTTATTTTTTATTTTTTTTTATGTTGTAGTCAAGACGACCCACTCCATCATTATAGAGAGGCTGTAAGACTGCCACAGTTGCCTGAACAAGTTTGGAAGCTTGCTTTACCCATGTCATTTATTTCAGAGTAGTCAACACTATCTTTCCCAGTCATACCTAGATATAATTGCATTAATGACACTGAAGATCATATAGGCATACAAATTGAGCAATTGTTATTTGGGCAAGATAATGTTTTCCATGCTTCCTGCCAAATAATGATGTTTATAGCTGATGCAATTCTTACTGCTTATTCCCAGGTAGCAAACCAGGAGACGTTTGGAACTCTGGGTGCTATTGTGAAGAGTCAAACTGGCAATAGGCAAGTTGGTTTTCTCACAAATCGCCATGTTGCAGTTAACTTAGATTACCCCAATCAGAAGATGTTTCATCCTCTTCCTCCAACACTTGGTCCTGGTGTATATCTTGGTGCGGTTGAGAGAGCTACTTCATTCATCACAGATGACCTTTGGTATGGCATTTTTGCGGGCATAAATCCAGGTAAATAAATTCAGCGTAGCATATGAATATAGAAAGTCTTATTGAGAATGTTAACATTTTTTCAGCAGCGTGGATTTTGGCTTTTTTTGATTGTCATGTTGTTGAAGCTTATACTGCAGTGTGATTTGAGCAAACTACTGAACTAGTTTAATATTGTTATCATGAGGTTAAAAAATCCATTTATGTTGAAATCCTAAGCTGGCTCTTCCTTGTTTGGTCTGTACTTGTATCCCTATTATGTTATGTCAAATGACTTTATTCACCTGCAGAGACATTTGTGAGAGCAGATGGAGCATTCATTCCTTTTGCTGATGATTTTGATATGTCCACTGTCACTACATCTGTGAAAGGCGTGGGAGATATTGGTGACGTAAAAGTTATAGACTTGCAGTCTCGGATTGGTAGCCTTATTGGGAAGCAAGTGATGAAGGTTGGAAGAAGTTCTGGCTTGACCACAGGAACTGTGCTGGCCTATGCCCTTGAATACAATGATGAGAAAGGTATCTGCTTCTTAACTGATTTTCTTGTTGTGGGTGAGAATCAGCAGAGTTTTGATCTTGAAGGAGACAGTGGAAGCCTCATCATGATGAAGGGTGAGAATGGTGAGAAGCCAAGACCAATTGGAATTATATGGGGTGGAACTGCTAACCGGGGCCGACTTAAGCTAAAAGTTGGCCACCCCCCAGAAAATTGGACCAGTGGAGTTGATCTTGGACGCCTTCTGAACCTCCTTCAGCTAGATCTCATCACAACTGATGAAGGGCTCAGAGGTTTGTGCCTTGAAATAAACTAATTGTTCAAATCTTTTCTCATCATTTCATTTTTATAATGGTATATTCCTTATATATGCTGATTCTGATTTGTTGCTATTGCTACAATAGTAGCGATTGTAATTGTGATCTTGATTATTTTTATGTTTATCAACAGTGGCAGTGCAGGAACAAACGGCTGTCTCAGCAACAGTCATTGCCTCTACTGCAGGAGACTCCTCGCCTCTGAAGGCAATTCAAAAGGACAAAAGTGAAAACAAATTTGAGCCACTAGGTCTTCAGATTCAGCATCTCCCTCTAGAAGTAGAACACTGCAGCCCAGAAATGAATCGGTCAACAATAGAGTCTGAGTTTCATTTGGAGGACGGAGTCAAGGTAGGTCCAAGTGTAGAGCATCAGTTCATTCCAAGTTTCATAGAGCAGTCACCTTTGCACAAAGACTTCTTTAGCAATGCGGTCTCTGAGGATCTTGCTTCACTAAGGAATGGTTGTGATGAAGATTTGTGTGTTTCATTGTATTTGGGTGACAATGAAGCCAAGAGGAGGCGTTCGGATGGCTCAACAAGCACAGAAGAACCAAACTGACAATGACTTCTGGGTTTGAGCTGAGACACAGGCTGGTATTTTATCTGGAATATAGATCGTGTTCTGCCTATGCAATCAAACCCGTAATTGTACCATTTTTTGTGCTTTCCATTTCAGCTCGAGCTAGCAGCTTCGAGCTTGCCTTAAATCAATTTTGGTGCAGCATCCCATGTCTGTAATAATGTTATGTAAACTGCGTACTGTAGAAGGTGAACTAACATGTATCTGCTCAAAATTTCAGTTTCAGTTTCAGTTTCAGTTTCTCTTCTTTTCTCATCTTAATTTTTTTTTTAGCCCAGTTAGACCTTAAATTTGTCAAAGAATAGCATTTAGTCGGTCAACTTTCATTCCAAGCGTTGCGGTCCTTGATTATGATCATTTTGGAGTCAATCAGTAAAATTTAAGTCTCTATATTAACAACTAAAAAAAGCTTAATGACACGTTAATTTGTATAATCAATTGTTGGTATAAAAAATGAATGTTACTTGGAATATATAGAAAGGATTTTATGATCACTCCACTCTATACTGGATCTTCTCATTTAAAATTTATAATATTATTGTCAATGAAAAATTACATACTACAAATTAAGTATATGTGTTTGTATCTCTTGGCAAATATCTAAACAATTAAAAAGTTTGAACTTTGAAACATATAAGGTTTTCAAAAAGAAATGATTTTACCTTATTGTATAGTTTATCATCACGTAAAGGAAAAAAA